GCTCCGCAACGGGAGAGGCCACAACAGTGAGAGGCCCGCGTACCGCAAAAAAAAAAAAAAACCAAACCAAAACAAAACAAAACAAAACAAAACCTTCAGGCAGGTGCAAGCCCACAAGGGGCGGCGGCTGGAGCTGGCGCCCCAGGCGGCACGCAGCTCCGGAGCCTCCGCCTGCCCACGTGAGGAGCTGTCAGCTCCAGCCCCGCTCTGTCACAAGCTTGTTGATCATATGAAAATTCTAGAAACGGGTCCCTTGACAAGACATCTAAACATGTTGGGACTGGATTTGTGGGGGCTGTACACGTGGTGACGTAATGAAATTCCAGATTCAAGTGGATGAAAAGGGGACGAGCGTGGACGCCAGGTTTAAGATTTGGCTGTGGCTCCGATCGCCTCCAGCCGGTGAGCCACCCCGTGGGTAAAAGGGAACCGGCGGAGGAAGACTTGACCATCAAAACACGGACATAGGTACTTCCTTGGTGGCGCAGTGGTTGAGAATCCACCTGCCAATGCAGGGGACACGGGTTCGAGCCCTGGTCCAGGAAGATCCCACATGCCGCGGAGCAACTAAGCCCGTGCGCCACAACTACTGAGCCTGCGCTCTAGAGCCCGCGAGCCACAACTACTGAAGCCTGTACGCCTAGAGCCTGTGCTCTGCAACAAGAGAAGCCACCGCAATGAGAAGCCCGCGCACCACAACGAAGAGTAGCCCCCGCTCGCCGCAACTAGAGAAAGCCCGCGCGGAGCAACGAAGACCCAACGCAGCCAAAAATAAATAAGATAAATTAATTAAAAAACAAAAAACAAAAAAAAATACAGGCATAGCCAAGGAACTCTCCTTCCTCCTGTGGCTGCACTGTTCCCTGCTGGCTGAAGGTGCAGCCCAGGCCGCCCTGGCGGATGACACAGGGAAACAAGAACCCAAGCGGGCAGAGGCGGAGAAGAAAGGAGCCCTTGGTGAAGAAGCCTCTGCCAGGTCGTATCAGCTGTTTTCTTCCCCTCTCCCACAGTAAAAGAGCTATGGGATACACACATGTGCTGTTCACAGTGTGGCTCAAATGCCAGCAAAATACACAGTTTAATTGTTCTGAATCCTGTGGTTTCTTTCAGCCCACATTTATCACCTTAACCCAGTTGATGTATATTTTGAATTATGTATATGATCTCAAAACGGAAATCAATAATGAAGTCTCAAGTTCTGGTAGTCCACGAAGTGCACGAATATCTGATTTCACCTGAATCTATTTTGGGGAAGATTACCAATAGAATGTCTTGGTCTGATGATTTGATAGAACCAATTATTGTACATAAAACATATTTGCATATATGTAAAAAATAAAAGAATGTAAGAGGAAAAAATAAATAAACCCCCTTTCAGAGACTGATATTGTTCATATCCCAAACCAGTAAAATGGTGAAAGTACTATGCACTTGTTTTAGAAAACATTTTTTTGTACTTAAGTATCTATGTGAAAGCAATCTTCATATCAAAAATGCAGCATTTATTCTTTCAGCGTAGCCAGATATATTCTCTACACTTTTTCAGGAGATAAATGTTACTTTGGTCCCTTTCCAATTGTATCTTGGTTTCATTACAGTACGCCTAACTAATGGCCTCGTAATTTCATTTGGGACCAGGACTGATATTTCTGCAGATGCTTGTTATGCCACTCTGAATCCGTACTCCCCCTACCTTTTTAGGTGACTTGATTTCTGGTTAATAAGACAAAAGACTAAAGTCCTATAAAAGAAAAAAAGACAAAGAAAAAACACAGCTGGTAATGTTTTTTGCATCCGGGATGCCCTACAATTAGAAAGATGTTGCAATGAGAATATCTACTTTTGTATTTCCTGACCAGCCTGCTCCCACTGGTCTTTGTAGCAAATGGAATGATTTTCTTCGTTTTTTAATACAGGAAACAAATTTGTGCTTTTACGGGAGAAAACTTCGTTTGCCAGCAGCCCTGCAGTGAATCTTACGGGAGTGAGGGAGTAGTGCATATTCAGTTTAGGGAAAAGCCTTCACTGGTTTTCAAGGGGATCCTCGTAGGTCCTTGTAGAATTACGTAATTGGAACCCTGAAGAATAGGCACCACTGGCCTTTATTCTCCTGAATACGTATAAGTGGTTTCATAGACTGGGAGGTCTAGCCTTAGAAAGGAGGGTATTTTCAGGGGCTCAGCCTCCAGGCCCGGTGGGGTGCCATGGCCTCTGGACCTCTGTCTCCCCCTCTCCAGAGCTACATGGAGGTCAGCTGTCCTGGGAGTTTTAAAGATCTTTTTAGGTCAGACCAATC